TAAGGTTGCAAAGAAATTGAGGAGATGTACGAACGCCACTGGTTGCGACACCCAGCCATATCATTCAGTATCTCTAACCATCGGTTACGATCATCCCGAGGTCCCCAGCCAGGGAGCCTAACAGGACCTATGTAACCTAGTCTCCTGGTTAGGGTTTTCATACCCTCGTGCCAGGTATTAGCTTGACCACCCTTGGTTTTTTTCCACTAGGTGTCTGCTTCGGCGAACATCGCTCGCCGTGGCAACCAATCTGGTGACATGCGTAACACATGTCCCAACCAACATAATCTATGGAGGTCGACCGCTTGCNGGCTACCCCACCAGATTCGTGCAATGCTGCGTAGACAGCGGTGTTCAAACACCGACAGTCCGTCTTTATCCTGTTTTCTGAATGGTCAAGTTTCTGCACCGTACAGCAGAACTGTCGCGGCATACACTCGACCCGTCACAACGGATGTCGCGACGGCGCCACAGATGTCTCAAGTTGGCAAATGCCAACCGAGCCTTCTGGCACGCACAACTTAATAGTCAGACCATCCATAGAAGGATTAGGGTTTTTAATGAAAACAAATTGTTGGTCAGAATACGCGACTAGTAGTAGTTGGCGGATCGATGATCCGTTCTTTTTAGAAAACCCTTGTCAATCAGGAAACCAAGACATAATGGATCAAGAAGATCGTAGATAACCCGATTTTTGAAAATGGATATGGCTAACTAGGTTGAGCTCAGATTGGACAACGATCACGTGACTTTGAGCGGCAACGGGGCAATTGCCACGATGATCTGTCCCAGATTCCCGGTAGAGGACAGGTCGAAACGAAATCAACAACTCATACAACTGTGAATTTCGGTTTATGTGGAGCAGTATCGATCGAGGCTAGTAGCGTAACTCGAGAAACTCCATTTATTGGCCACAATATCCACTCCAATTTCTTGCTGATTCACTTTGATCTTTAAGAATCGTTGATTCGAGCTAAATTAAGGAACAACCCTACTCCAATCTGGTAGTTAAAGGCGAGTGAAAATCACGATCATTAATTAAATTAACTAAAATTATGAAAATCCGCAAAAAAATGATCCAAACGGTATACAAGTTAGACCGAATTGACCAAAAGATGAAGCGTTTGGTTTTGAATAATTATCCATCAGTCATCAAATTCATACCTCGCCAACTCTTAGTTCATTCAGTCAAGCAAATACATATCCATCTGTGGTGAACGTCTACTGACTGAGTCATCGAAAAACTCAACACTGGAGAAGAACAAAGGAATTCGGGATTTCGCCAAGGCAAACTGGCGATCGGGTGTGACTATCACAGTGGTGGTGGCGCAGTGGTTTTGTCGCTGTCACAGGCGTGCTTTGAACCTTATGGTCCGAGTTTCGAGTCCCGCCACCGCCACCCAACTTTGGTGGTAGGCAGCTTTGCTGTCGTCCGGTTCAATACCACACCTAACCTATCGGGGCTTTATGTGGTTCGCCACTCCAAGTCTCGGGGCTAAGGTTCGCGGTTTCCATCACTGATTAGCTGGTCCTCGTGACTATCGGGTTTGCCCTGTGTGCTGTTCATCACACGAAAGTGTGTAATAAAAAATACAGGATTGTGGTCCAATAAAATAAGAATGATCACACATTACCACTCGCAAGCGATTGAAAGTAGAAATAGAACAAAATATTTTCACACTGAGTCAAATCGGTTGCTCTAGCAAGCGTATGTGTGAGAAAAGAACAAGACAATTCGGAGTGAAGCATTCAACTATATGCGCTTTTGTTTATCGGTGCGTTTTCCCCTACTTCTTTCCCGTTTCACAGCCTACTGGAAAAGAAGATTGCATTATTCTTCATCACGGTTTGGTAATTACTAGCCATATTTCTCTCATTCAAGTAAACCCATCAATCACAAATGTGCAATCCTGATATAATCTCATACGAGAGTTCCACCTAAACGATTCACGATGATCCCAGTCATCTACTCGATCCCTGATCTACTTGTCATCCCCATGTCACAAAGAGATTCAATTTTCAACGCTTAAAATTTTGTTTGGTTCACACTAACTGAGAAGAAGGTATTCCTTGGCGTAAATCTACAAAGGTTCTGTTCTTTTAAATGCGATGGAAATGTACGTGATAACTGACAAATAGTTTGGGATTTGTCAGCAGTTTGAATCTTGACAGGGACACAAAAAGTACGCATTGCTGACGAACCCCCAACAGGACAAAGCAGCTGTCCAGTGCTCCTTGTTAGTTATCACATACATTTCCATTGCATTTAAATGCATTCAACTAGTGGGGAATTACCGATATTGTCTAAACAGTCCCACAGAGCACATTTTCAAATAGAATAAGGAGTGGCGAACAAGCTCGTTTTCAGTGATTCGTAGTCATGCCAAATACATCACAATAAATATTACGCTGTTTGTATTCAATCATAAAAACGCGAACAAATGTTTCGGGAAAGGGGAAATTACCTCATGGGTTATCTGGGCCAAGTTCATCTTGGGACCGGATATGGAATTCTCAATGATCGCATAATTGTTAGGTCATCCGATCGTTGGGACCACTTGGAATATGGGGTGTATAAGGGGTGGGCCAGGGGAGCTTAAGCGCATATTTAATATGTATTATGATGTATTTGGCATGACTACGAATCACTGAAAACGAGCTTGTTCGCCACTCCTTGTTCTATTTGAAAATTAACGATATCTTAATGAGTGAAACCCAAATCCGAATAATCGAATGGGCTGATCAAAGCTTGATACTCTGAAATTTTCTTCTTTTTTTTACCGTTTATCCTTGTCGCAAATGAATTTTCATCATTTTCCACCTAATGTAACAGTGAACACAGTTTCCTTTTTTACTGAAATCTAGGCAAAGTGCCTTGCAAGAATCATCATAAAACGATACAAAACAACATGCTTCGGCAGCGTCCCACACAAATTGCACAATGTGAACAGTGATCTTTGGTTCGTACCGAGGCGACAATGCGCTGAGCCAGTGGAGACTCGATTTTCTGTTTTGCCCGATCCAAAAAACTGCGTGTTGGTGTACCGATGGCGGGCAGCTGTGTATCTGCGTCGGCCGTCTGGGGGATTGGAGATGCGGAATCGGCCGGAACCGGGAACTGGTGCTCCACATAGGGAGCTTCAAACAACCGTTTCTGGCTGCTCGTACAAGATCGAGTTTTTGGAGATCTGGAAAGCCAGCACACTGATTAGGTCTATTTCCTTATGAGAAGAAATCGATGCAAATGAAATGGAAACAAGAAGCATCCGAACAAAAGAACAGTAACAGTGGACTGACTGAGCGACCTACGACAAGTCGCCATCATTCTCTTATTTATTCAATCGGTTCAAGATTAATTGAAAGTGTCCAAGCAAAGAAGGTCATGCTACCTTACATCATTCCACGACCTATTGAAAATTGGTAAATTTCCATTTATTGCACTGAGAAATTTGCCCGGTTGGCGATGAACCGTTTGCAATCTAACGAAATCTGAAGACTGTGAAAAGCTGCCCTCTGCAAAAGTATCGGCTTTTAAAACAGTTCCTAAGATCCAATCTACATATATACATATACAAAACGCAGTATAAATTGTAGCACCTCTGAGACGGAGCAGTAACAAAAATATTCCCACCTTTGGGACAACCGGTGGCAACACTTTGTTCTTAACACTGGTGCTAAAAGTCGCACTTGAATGGCAGCCACCACCGAATTCAAGCGATTGGCCAATTTTGATGACTCAGTCGTTGGTTGCTAACTGGTCTCATAGAAATGATTTATGAACATTGGATAGACATCAATTGGGTTCTTAATTGTTGCTCGAGAAGTACCGAAAAACTCTTAATGGTCATGTATTTTCCCGTCAGACTACGACGGAAGAAGTCCATCAAAAAAAACGTGTTCCACTTTTGCGTGCGAAGTACGAAAGACAGGAAAATTGAAATTGCAAAAGTTATAAGATTCTAGCCAGTAAACCAATGAGTGTATTTCACTTTCCCACTTATGCTTATTCATGGTAGTACTGAATAATCCTGTGCTGAAAATCATGCCCAGGTTTGACAGCATGGGAATCAAGCAGAGGCATACAGTCGACCCGTGCACTTCTGTCTATAGATCAAAAGAGAAAGGGAGCGAGTGAGCTTTCGATCGGTCAGTCGATTGTAACAATGATCATACACTCAATCGGATAGTCGGGTCCAAACCGAGATTTGTCATCATACCCTGACCGACGATAGATGACACATTGCTTGTGCCCGACATATTAGGGTGATGTGCGTGTTAGATTGACAGGTCGATTTGGAAGGTGACCTTGATCAAGGGCACGGTACTTATTCCTCGACTGTAACAATAAGTGATTCGTGAACAGGTTAAGTTTCAGTGAAGAATATTAGGCACCGTTTTTAAATAAATATTTGGCGGATAAAGCGAAAAAAGTCTTATTTTTGGATTGTGAAAAATCAGGAGCCCCCGCGGGATTCGAACTCACCTATGAACACCATCTACGTTTCTGTACAGCGCACACTCCAGTTGCTAAGCTACTGGGCCATATCGATTGTACCGACCTGAGCACGTTTGGGTCGCAAAGCTAACTGACGGAGACATATGGACTCCAGCAATTAGCATGCAAACTCACAGCCATGGCAGATTTTCATCAGAAACCACCATTTTCGGTCATATACTAATAATTAAGTTCGGTTTTCAAAAAAATCAGCCCCTTTTCAGTGCCCGGAGGGTGGCGGCATTTTGAGAAGGTGAGCAACCCAAGCTGGAACGGCAACTGAACATCGTAAAAATTACTACCTGGGTACAGTTTTTGTCATAACCACGGTGGATGGGGACAAAAATATCGGATCAATCTAAATTCGCAAGAGNCTGACCTCAGAAGTGACACGGATCTGAGCAGGTATGACCGTACTGTTCGAGATTCGCGGCAAAAGTTAGACGAACACCGACTGTAAAATACTAGTACGACAAGGCAATACCCTCACGGGCCAATGAGCTGATTCAGTAGGGACATACTTTAACTGATTGTTATCCGGTTGCATATAAAATCCCGGCTTCGTGAGCTCGGAATTTTGCAAAAGATTGACCAATGCTCGATATTCCTGTGAAGACAAAAGCGAAAAAGTTGTCCAAATGGAATTACTGCAGTGTGAATCATTACATTATATCATTTGCATAAGAAAAATCCATCTGTCCATCCTAACGACAATATTCATCGTCACTAAGCTCAGTGGATTTGATTGTTGAAAGCTTACAAAAGAATGGCTGAGTGTGAAGAGATAGCAAAGAGAGTGATGTACATTCTATCTGAACAACATGTATGGTACCCTGAAAAGTGACAATATTTTGAAAGACTTATGTACCTGCTTGGATGAGCGTGCATAGCAAAAAGAGGAACACATCAGTTTGCGAAGAAGGGTCGTAAAGACTAAAAAATGACAGTAACTTTTATGGATGCCTCTTTACGCCGTGTTTCTTTCGTATCCTAAAAGTGTCGAAACATTGTTTGAGAGTGTACGAAATAAAAAATACGAGTCCTTGATCAAGAATGTTAGTGACAATACAAATAAAGGATATATATTTTGTAATAAGTAAATGATTAGATGATTAGACTAAATTTCCCTGGAAGCACACGACCGGTTTCGCGGTTCTTGTCGCTCGTCAGGCATGCGTATCCAGTCCTTTTTGTCAGCTCATTCATCTACTTGCATCCAGGAAATATCTGTCACAATAACCTCATTGGCAACAACAGGTAATTTCCGGAAGGATAACTCTTTCAGAGACAATCCATGAAAGAATCAATATTGTAATTCGATGATTTGTGGATGGGTTAGACGCTCCTAACCGCAACAAGCGTGACTTGAATGT